CTGTAAAGTAAGACTGATTTACAGTGGAAAACAAAAAAATTGAAAATATAGGCGTAAACAGAAAAATAAACAAATATGAGGCAACATAAAAATAGGCGTGAGTGAAATCTGAATTAATAAATACGTCAAACATGTTACACGGCAATAAAAGCCACAAAGAACTGCAGTACGTGTCTGCATACAGCGACACACACACACACACACACACACACACGCACACACAGCGATGAGCTACAGGTGTGGGAGAATATGGACGTTTTTGAGAGTAACAGTTGTCGTGGACTTTGAATCATCGAGCAGCTTGTTCCAGAGAGGATCAGCGTGACTGAAAACGGCCTCGTCAGAATAATTCGATCGACTTCTGTACGTTTATTTTACAGGTGTCGACAGGTTATCATCAAAGAGTGTTGGATATGCATTTAGGGGCCAACAATCAAAGCCGAGCGTATTTAATACATGTGTTTTTGTGAGTTTTTGAGACTTCTCTTTTACCCTCAAAAAATGATATAAATTGCGTGATAGATTTTTAATGACTAAATCGTAAATGTGATACAAATTAAAACTCATATATGCAGATCAAAAATAATATATCTTTTATATATTTTGCCTAAAGGTTCAACAAACACTCCATTATCAAACAATTAAAGATTTCTGGCAGTTATTTCATGTTGCAGGTTTTAAAGGGTTAAATACTGAATATGTGTCAGTTAGAAAGATTATTTTCCTTGTTCTTGTTCTTGCTAAGATTTAAGGGGGAAAAGGACATATTCTGATTTTATAGGGTTAAGGTTTGGATGTAATGACCTTGCAGGGATAACAAAAGTGTAAAGAAATTGAAGCTTATTAGAGTGTTAGGAGTAGTAAATGATGCTCAGTTATTCCCTCCAGTTTGCTCTCCCATGTATTGTCTCATTTTCATGACCCTGGATTTATTCGACCTGGATTAAGGATTTCTACGAGGACTGTTTTTTTGTAACTTTTGTAAATGTCAACCCTACAACACCACAATTAATGTCTCCTGGAAAGATTGTCTGAAACTGTGTGATATTATTCATGTTTCCCCCTTTTTGTTATTAAACCATATCCATCTCTCCTCCTCCCTAACCCTCTCTATTACAGCCAGGCTTTCAGCTATAAACAGTTCTAGGAGACCACATACCTGCACTTCCTTAACTCCTTACTGCTGTTAGGGTTAATTAGGTATTGATTTGATCAGGACCAGGCAAGGGGCCTTATTCTAAAGGCTTTGGTCACAATGAATTATTAATGTTCATACAGGACTATATATAGCGTGCATCCAGTGGTCACAAGAAAGTCAAGCGTTGGTTCCTCTGTGCTGCTTAACCGAATCCCTGTTTGCTCCGCTCTCTGCTTCCTGCTCAGATTGATTGCACTACTTCCTTCAGGGTCATGTTCA